CGGGCCTCGCGCCCCGCGGCCCTGGGTCCTCTGTGACCCCCCACCCCCGCGCTGGACTCACGGGCTCGGGCCGGTCCCCGGCCGACCCACCCCATCCCTCTCCGACATCTTCTCCCCCGCACCCCTGCACCACCCCCCAGGCTGGGCCTCTGGAGCCTGGAGCTGGGGGAGGGAGGGACGGGGAAACCGGCTTAGAAATCAATGAATGGCCTGGTTTTGTGCCAAAATGCACCTTTGGGAGCCCCTGGCTTCATCTCCCCTGGGGTTGGGGGGGGCCCTGGGCTGGGGTACCTCATCAAGACGACCCCCCAGTCTGCTGCTCACACCCCTTTATGGAGCGTTTAGTAGGCGCTTACCAGGCCTGCCTTCTGAGTAGTGAGGTTCTAGGGCTCAGCCCGTGGGGCTGATGAGAAAGGGAGACATGGGAGGGGGGCTGCCACCTCCCCTTCACCATCCCCACCACACTGCGAGTCTGGGGTCCGCAGAACATGCACAATAAATGTCTGTTATATGGCCCAGGAATGGAGTGTCACCCCGCCAAGTGCTCATAAACCCCCAGTGTAGCTAAATAGCCGCGCTGCTGTCAGACTCGACTTCCCCCAAAATGACACACAGGGCTGCAGGGGTGCAACGTTGTTTATTCTCTGGAGCCCTGCCCCCTGAAAGGGACCCCTCCCTCCTGCTCTTCCACTTCCATGGGGGAGGGGCTGGGGCTCCCCTGCATGGGGGAGGGGCCTGCACCCTGAGCTGGGGATCTGGGGGGCGGGGAGGGAAGGATGGCTGCCCTGGGACCTGGGCAACGAGGGACAGATAGCCCAGGTGGGGTGGACTTCTGGGGTCCCAGCTGAGGTTTGGGGCCAAGGGCTGGCTTCTGGGGGGTGGGTGGGCCCCGTGGTTGGGGGGCCAGGTAGGAGGCTGGAGGACTTCTGCCTGGCCTGGAGCTAGCCTGCACTCCCCGGGACTGAGGCCAAGTCACAGGAGCTTGGCTCTGGGTGGGAGTTGGGGCTCTAGAGACTGGGGCTGTGGCCTGAGGCCCGGCTGGAACCAAAGGACCCTGCAGGGATCTTGGGTCAGGGTTTGGAATTGGAGACCGGAGCCTGTTTCTAGGGCTGACCTGGGTTCTGGAGTGGGGCTGGATTTTGGACCCCTCAAGGCTTGTGGCGTTGATCTGGGCTTCCGAGGTGGCGCTGGGCTGGGTCTCTGAGCCAATTGTAGTTCTGGAGCTGAGCTGGGCTGCAGACGTCAGCTGGGTGCTGGAACTCAAGGGAATTTCAGAGCCAAGCTGCTTCTCCAAGCCCAGTGGAGTCCCAGCGCTGGCTTGGGTGTTGGGCTGGCGCGGGCCCTGGGAACCTGCCTGGGGTTTAGCACCAAGCTGAGCCCCGGAAGCTGGCCGGGTTCCTGGGCAGCGTTGGGCTCTGGTTCCGGGTGGACCATCAGAACTGAGCGGGGTTTCCGAACGTGGTTCTACCACGGCCTGGGCCTGCACCCCAGAACTCGGCTGAGGTCCAGCACTTGGCTGCATTCTAGAACTTGCCTGGGTCTCAGCTGGCCGTGTTTCAGAGCTGGGCCGGGCTCTGGAGCGGGGAAGGACAGCTGAGCTGGACGGGACTCCAGATGGTGGCCAGGCCATGTCAGTCTGGGTCCCAGAGGTGGACAATGTTCTCATGCTCGTGTGTGATCTGCAGGGTGAGTAAGATTTGGTGCCAAGCCACCTTCTGGAGCTGGATGGGGGTCCAGGGCTGCTCTGGATTCTGGTGCTGGTTGTAGCCGAAGGCTGGGTTCTCTGGCTGGGCTTTGTTTCACAGCTAGACCCAGCACTGGCGCTGATCTGGGATGCATCCTGGAGGGATAGATGTGGGAACAGCAGAGTTCTCAAGCCAGGCTGCAGTCCGGATGGGTACTGGGTGGCAGGGAGGCGCTGGCTTCCCGAGCTCATCTGGATTCTGGAATACAGTTGCACCTGGGAACACTCTTTGGCTCCTGAGCTGGTTGGAGTGCCCGAGCTGCGCGGGCTCTTCATTCTCACCTGGGTTCCAAGGCTAAGAGCTTCTGCAGGGCTTGGCTGGGTGTCCAGGATGGCCGTGGAAGGATCTGGAAGCCCAGAGTCACGTCGAGTTGGATGGTTGAGCTTGGTGTTGAAGCTGGACTGGGTTCTAGAACTGGGGGTCAGCTCTGGAGTTGTCTGAGTTCCAGAACACAGCTTTGCGTGAGGGCTTGGCTGGGTTCCAGAGGGGAGCTGACGCTCAGAGCTGAGCTGGGTCTGGGGGCCGGGCTGGGCCTCAGAGCTAACTTGTGTGCTGGAACAAGGCTTCATCTCAGAGCTGAGCTCCGTTGGAGAGCTGGGCTTGGTCCCTGAGCTGAACTGGGTTCCAGGTCTAGGATTGCTGTCGGAGCTGAGCTCAGTTGTAGAGGTAGAGCGAGTGTCCAAGCTGGGCTGGTTTTGGGTGCTAGATTTGGTCTCAGAGCTGACTTGAGCTCTAGAACAGGGTTTGGTCTCAGAGCTGAGTTCAACTCTCAAGCTGTGTTTGGACTCAGAGCTACGCTGGGTTCTGGAGCAGGGCTTGGTCTGGGAGCTGAGCTGGGTTCTGGAGCTGGGTTTGGTCTCGGAGCTGAGCTGGGCTCTATAACCGGGTTTGGTTTCAGGGCTGGCTTGGGTTCTGGAGCAGGGCTTGGTCTCAGTGATGTGCTGGGCTCCAGATCTAGGCTTGTTCTCAGAGCTGAGCTCTGTTGTAGAGCTGGATGTAGTGTCAGAGCTGCTTTGGGTTCTGGAGCTGGGTTTGGTCTCAGGGCTGAGCTCTGTTCTAGAGCTGGATCTGGTGTCAGAGCTGCGTTGGGTTTTGGAGCTGGAGCTGGTGTCAGAGCTGCGTCGGGTTTTGGAGCTAGATCTGGTGTGAGCGCTGGGCTGGGCTCTGGAGCAGGGCTTGGTCACAGGGCTGGCTTGAGTTGTGGAGCAGGGCTTGGTCCGGGAGCCTGGCAGGCCTCCAGGCCTGGGCTTGGTTGGGGCGCTGGCTGTGGCGCAGGGCTGGGGCAGGGGGCTGGGCTCCGGGCTGGGGCTGCGCTCTGCCACCGGGCACACTAGCCACAGGTCTCCCTGGCCTCGCCGATGGCGGCCCACACCTCCACCACAAACTCGTCGGGGAAGGCAAACTCGCCCAAGACGGAGTCCAAACAGCGAGCAAACTCCTGCACACTCGCCGTCTTCTTGGACGTCTCCACCATGGTGGACGCTGGCGGGGAGACTGGTGAGGACCCTGCCGCCCCCAACTCCCCCAGACCCCCGTCTCCTCCCCAGGCTGCCCTCCCCCCGGGGTCCCCCCAGCTTACCCTGACCCCTTACCCAGCTCGGGGTCCCGAATGCCCATGTAACTCTCCAGAAGGTCGTCCACCTTCCCCGAGGCCTCCTCCTCAAAGTCACTGGGCTGAGGCGGGGCGAGGCAAGTGGAGGTGAACGGTCAGATCCCCCAGCAGACCCTTCCTGACCCCGGGGAAACAGGCAGAGAAACTGAGGCTTGGTGCATCCTGCCAGATGCTGGTGCTCATGCCTGTAATCCTAATTACTCAAGAGGCTGAGATCTGAGGATTGCGGTTCAAAGCCAGCCCAGGCAGGAAAGTCCATGAGACTCTCATCTCCAATGAACCACCAGAAAACCGGAAGTGGCGCTGTGGCTCAAGTGGTAGAGCGCCAGCCTTGAGCAAAAGAGCTCAGGGACAGTGCCCAGGCCCCGAGTTCAAGCCCCAGGGCCAGCACGCGGGCGCGCGCACACACACACACGCAGAGACACACACACAGATGGGTCCCCGTGACTCACCGCCTCCTCCACGGTGGCAGCACCCCCCGCACGCAGCCGCAGAGTCTCTCTCCCACTGCTCACTTTGGACTCCAGGGGACACTTGCTGCTGCGGCCTCTCTGGCCAATCATATCTGGAGGGGACAGTCAAGATTTGAGAGGACACCAGCTGGGCCTTTCTAGAACTTTCTGAGCTTTTGTATTCTCCTTACCACCATCCATTGAACCTCAAAACCCTATTGCAATTTTTTTTTGCCCTCCTGGAACTAACCCAGGAGCCACACTACTTCAGGATGGCTCTAGAAGTAACTTCAGTCCTGCCCCCTCCCCTTGAGATGATTCTAGAAATCACCTTGTACCTAAAGGGTCAATCCAGAGACGCCCTCTCTGTTTGTTTGTTTGTTTGTTTTTGTCAGTCATGGGGCCTGAACTCTGGGCCTGACGCTGTTCCTGAGCTCTTCAGCTCAGGGCTAGCGCTCTACCAGTTGAGCCACAGCACCACTTCCAGCTCTTTCTGCTTTTGTGGTGCTGAGGAATTGAACTCAGGGCTTCGTGCATACAAGGCAAGCGCTCTACCACTGAGCCACAGCTCCACTTCTGGCTTTTGACTGTTGAATAGGAGGTTCCTGTCTGGGCTAGCTTTGAACTGTGAGTCTCAGATCTCAGCCTCCGGAGTAGCGATGATTTTGTATACAATTATAAGTGAGAGCCATTCTTCCTGGCTTCCAGACACAGTTCACCACCCTGATACCTGGAACTCCACCCTGGAACACCTTGGAACACCCTGGAACTCCACACTGCCCCTAGGGCCTCATTCTAGATTCACTAGGAATCCTAAAACTGCTTGCTCTGGGCTAGTGCAACCCAAAGGGCTTGTCCATGAGGAGATAAGGATACAGGCGCTGGTGGCTCACGCCAGACATCCTAGCTACTCAGGAGGCCGAGATCTGAGGATCACAGTTCAAAGCCAGCCCGGGCAAAAAAATCCCTGAGACTCTTTTTTCCAACGAACCACCAGAAAACCAGAAGTGGTGCTGTGGCTCAAGTGGTAGAGTGCTTGCCTTGAGCTGAAGACCTCAGGGACAGTGCCCAGGCCCAGAGTTCAAGCCCCAGGACCAACAACAAAAACAAAACCAGGAAACAAAATACACAACTGGCTTAGCCAGGCACTGGTGGCTCTCACTTATAATTGTATACAAAATCATCGCTACTCCGGAGGCTGAGATCTGAGACTCACAGTTCAAAGCTAGCCCAGACAGGAACCTCCTATTCAACAGTCAAAAGCTAGAAGTGGAGCTGTGGCTCAAGCGGTATAGCACAAGCCTTGAGTGGAAAAAGCTTAGGAACAGCACCCAGACTGAATTGGAGCCCCAGGACCAACACACACACACACACACACACACACACATATATACAAACGCTGGCTAAAGTACACAGGATGACATCTGATCTAGAACAGACATTCCTCGCTGTGGTTGGCTCTGCCTTTGGGGGAACCCTGTGCCAAGTTGGGGATACCATGACTGTCAGAACTGGGAACCTCCAGACATCAGCCTCCTCCCCCCAAAAAAGAGCTCAGCCCCAGATATCCTCAGTGCTGAGGGGGAAAGACCGTGTTCCGAAGCAAGCGCCTCCCATTCCTCCCATCCACAAACTGCTCTTCCCTTCCCCAGACAGCAACGAGTCCGGCAGGCCACCAGAATGCTTCTAGAACCTTCCATGCCCTCTTAGGTCCCTCACCCACCCTCCTCTGTCTCAAGAACCCGTCTTCCCGGACGGCTCGGCCTCCCCCTGGGTGCCAGGTGGCCCTCACCGAAGGCCCGCTTGGGCTGCACCAGGCGGAGGGTGAAGGGCTGGGCCTTGGGCAGCTCCCGCAGCATCTTGGCCACCTCGTAGTGGCGGCAGCCCACGATGGAGTGGTCGTTGATGGCCTCGATGCTGTCCCCCACGCACACCGTCTCCATCCGGTTGATGATGCTCCCCTCTTTAATCCTCTGTGGGGATCTCAGGGTCACTGGGGGGGCAGGGAGGGGAACCCCGCCTCCCCCTCCTCGGGGCTCCCCAGCCGGCCCCCCCATCCACCCCCCGCATCCGTGCAGGTCACCCGGCGCGGGGGCAGCCGCCCCTGCCCTCCCTCCCGGGCACCTTGATGAAGGCGTAGCCGGCCCCGTTGTCGGTGATGGTCAGCCCCAGCGCGTCCTCCGTCTTGGTGACCTCCACCTCCTTGGTCTCGCCGCGCACGTGCGCGAAGATGAAGTCCTCCAGGCCGATCTGGCCGCCCAGCAGCTTCTGCATGTCCACCTTGTGGCTGTTGAGGGTGCAGAACAGGATCTGTCCCGGGGAGGGACGCGCCGGGTCAGCGGGGGCCGCCCTGGGGGGCACGGAGGCCCAGAGCGCAGGCCGAGGGCCGCAGGGCCGACCCCGGGGCTGACCGCAGGCTGAGAACCCCAGGGCCGACCCCGGGGCTGACCGCAGGCTGAGAACCCCAGGGCCGACCCCGGGGCTGACCGCAGGGCTGACCGCAGGGCCGACCCCGGGGCTGA